TTCCGCTCAAGTCAAACATTTGTGTGCATGAACATTTAATGTTTGATTTGGTCTGGGTGTTTCTATGTATAATAAGTATGTATTTACAAAAAAAAAGTATATATGTATTTATATCAGTTGTCTAGTACCCATAGTACAAGCTCTGCTTAGTTTGGGACTAGATGGCGTTGTGTGTATGTGGTACAATATTATTATTATTATTATTATATTTTATTTTTACTCTCTAGTGGTATTAAGGTAAATAAATATATAGTTTTCTTTCATAAACCTACATTCATTCATTGTGTGTTCAGGACAAATATTTCATAGAATAGTCAGGCGTTTTATTAGTACATTTATCGCAGACAAGGAAAATGGTAAAGTAACAAATAAATATGACAAAATATGTATTGCAAACTTTGCTTCCCAGACTTTTTCTCGATTTCTTGGAAGAAACTGATACTGTATAACGTAACGTGGCATAACGAAGTTCTAACACAGACACAGACGGAACTAATGTCTATAGATAATAATTATTTTTCATGAAAATCATAGTCTAAATTAAAACATTATTTGATATAATCATCGTTTATGCAGTAACTCGCAGTGAGCATTCAATTAATAAGAATACTACAAAAACAATAACCTTTAGTTTTCTTATAATTATATTTATTACCAATTATAAATCGTAATGCCTGGTTTGAACTTTGTAAACCACGAAAACAAAGGAGAAGGGAGGTTGTTTGCTGATTTTTTGTTATTTGAAAGATAAACCTCGACTTATTTAAATTTATTGTTTATTATTATTCTTTTGTATATTAAAAATAACAATACAAATTAAAGGAAATGCCTGATGGGTGATTCCTGCTGAATCCTTCAATAATAAAGTTCTTATCACGAGAGTTACATGCACCGGCTTAAACTAAATTTATATTTGTAAAAAGGATCTTCTGTTTTAGATTCGAGAATTCTAGAAATTTTTCAAATAAAACGGATAAATAAAAATAAAAACAAAAGAATACTAGATTTGCCAAACTACAAAAAAGTTTTTGGTAACCTCTTTACATGGCCTAAGTTACACTCATAAAAATGTTTTGCTTTAAGATGACTTTTGTCATTAAGATTTAACTACTAGTGAGTTCCAGTTCCATCTAACCGATCAAGTTTAAATTTTAAACACACATTCGAAACTATTGCGATGACAATAACATCAACGGATAAAAGACTATTTGACTCAATTTCACAATAAAGCGTTATACACAAAATTAAGAAAAATTCATATCTCTGTTAATAGTACACTCAAGGTTAAGTATGATCGGAATTAAATAAATTTCTACCTTAAATTTAAGTATTTTATTAACGACCACTACACATTGTTATTACTTGGTTTACTTGTAAACGTGTGTTAGTATTTACTTGATACAAGTTATTTAAAGTTATTAACAAAAACAGTTAAAATACCTGCTTCAGTTTAACGGTGTCCATGTCCAACGGTTCAATGAGTCCAGGAAATTGATAAAAAAATGTACTCTGATATTTATGTTCTTTAATTTTATTGAATATACTTTGCTTGGTGAATGATTTTTATAGGAAACATCGTATTTTTTATAAATACATTTGGCATATTTACGTAATATATCAACCTTAACCTTAATCAAACTAATTCAAATTAACTTACCGTTCGAAAGGGCGATAAATATTTTTTATTCACTTTTAGTAGCAAGATACGCAGTCAGGTTTTAACCAAGTCAATACTGAAATGTATTAAAAATAAGAGTATTTTTTTACAATTAACTTTGTAACTATGTATGTATCATGACGCCTCTGTTGAGAAATACCATAAGCGATAATTTTTTTGAGAAAAACAGCTCAAGTGACATTATTTTCTGTATTAATTCAGAGTAAAATGACTAAGAAGCGTAATTAATACGCACGCCTTCTTGTTCAAAGACAACTGAATGAATTGACGTATGTACATTGAATTCTTTTAATAAAAATATTTTAAAAGATCAGTCAAAATAGAAGGAAAATAAATTTACAATCCAACTACCACATACTATTAATGTGACTTGTCCATCCATATAAGTTCAATACTTTAATACACATCTTATGAAAAGTGAACTCACAATAACTTAACACCACGATATCAAAAATCTATACTAATATTATAAAGCTGAAGAGTTTGTTTGTTTGTTTGTTTGTTTGTTTGTTTGAACGCGCTAATCTCAGGAACTACTGGTCCGATTTGAAAAATTCTTTCAGTGTTAGATAGCCCATTTATCGAGGAAGGCTATAGGCTATATATCATCACGCTAAGACCAATAGGAGCGGAGCACCAATGATAAAATGTTTCAAAAACGGAAAAAAAATATTACTATTGAGAGACGCAGACGAAGTTGCGCGGGTCAGCTAGTTGTAGCTAAGATTAAAACGGCGTCAAGGACAAAAAACCTTGTTTTGCATGAAACCCATCCAAATACGCAGAATTTAGAGAATACAGTTTAAACCCAGGTAACTAAACTAGCACTAACAACTAAACTACTACTATTACAACACACTAGAACAACTAAATCGAACTCAAAATCTGCAAATGCGGTGTTGAATCTGATAGGCCTTTACCCGTTGATTTACTTATTTTATTTATTACTTATAAGTATAATTATTTATTTATCTTGATGCTGGTCTGATAAAGGTAAAGATGTGGATAAAAAATAAACTTTGTTGTGTTTGAGCTTGTTGGTCGGCTTGCCGATGGAACCAGTGGGTGTAGAAACTCCTTTTTATTTGATGCTGTTCAGGTAGTTTGCTTGCACTCTAAATTCAAATGACGTAATACATTTTTATTACTACCATTATGTACGGTACCCTCGTGTCTGTTCTTAAGAAAAGAACCTTATGATCTTTTTTTTTTGCAGTCAGATTACTAAAATGTAGCTGTACACAAAATCAGTTATTGGAACGAAGTTCCTTATCGCGCGTTGTGAAAGGGGGCTAGACGGAAAAAATTCTCACGAAAAGTTGTAACGACACTTTTTATGTCAGTCATTCAGCGCCATCTATCGAATAGATGCGAAATCATTACTTTTCATCTCAGTATTTATATTGAATTGTCACTTGTCAGTCATTCAGCGCCATCTATCGAATAGATAGGAAATCATTTCTCAAGGAGATTTTACCAATGTATAAATTGTTTTAATTAGAAACCAACTGAAAAATATTTAGGTAATAGCCGCTTTCATAGATGGCGTTGTAATTAAAATCGTGTCGAATCAGTTTTACTCGATCGTCCCAACTTCGTTCCTATCGGGTGTCCCACGACACCACACGGCTTTTATCGATCATATTTTACTGATCTTTTTATACAAAGCAGTTATTCAGAGCACTTAGTTGTGATGTTGTCTTTGTTTTAGAAACGCTATTAGTAACAGAGGAAAAATAATTAATTAAGGACATTGTTAGGGTATCTTGAATAATGTTGTATAGTTCATTTGTTACGCTTTTACGTTCTTACTACTCAATTTGTATACGTTTACATAGAGTTATACACAAATTGGGTATATGATATCCAGAAATAAAAATCTTTTCTCAATGATAAAAAAATATTCAACGCCAGCAAAGACGCGGGTATCAACAACGGATTTATGATAATTATTAAATACTCTTAGATTTTTCACTAATTATTATTGATGAAAAATCTTTTAAAATACTATGTTCTTAAAATAATTACGGATGACGTAAACAAATTGACACACGCCTGACAAACGTCATTTTACAGATGAGTGAGCATTTGAAGTGGACTTCCTTGACCGTGACAGCGTCAAGTTCACTTAAATAATCACCTGTCAAAAGATGTTATTGCCAAAGACGTGTGAAAACGTGATGTCCAACTTACATAATTCGTTTTGGATTACAGAATTGAGTTTTCAGTGGGCGTTTCAATTTTAAAAGATGGTGAGAAAAATACTGAAGAATGTAAAAACATACCTACTGTTCAAACATTACTGAACTTCTGAACTAAACAATGTAATATAATGTTTCAGCAATTTCAATTTAGACAGATGCGTTTCAAGTGAATTATCACCGAGTGTTGAATGTGTTAATAGGTCCACAGACACCTACAGAGGTCAATTAGCGTACGCTAATAACGTTCCTAACGTTAACGTTAGAAGTACCATTTTAAACTAGACTCAAATCCAAATCACATTAAATTCAATTTTGAACCACTGAAAATGTTTTGCAATCAGCCATTTGTGACGGCGAAAAGTCCTATGAGTCAAATAACTTTTAAGCAATAGCAATCTTAAAAATACAGAGTAACAGTTGAAGTTTGCTGGAAAGCTACAGTACAATATCAATGTTTAAAGTAGGTATAATAGTAAAACTAATGTGATATAACAATGAGTTTTTATGTTTGTAATAGGGAAACTGCAAGAACTGTAAAACTGCACTGGCGTAAGTAGGACTACAATAAAACAATTTTTTTTTCTATGAATATGTTAGTACGTGATTAGAAACATAAAATTAGAGTAAAAATACAATGTAAATATTAAAAGCTAGGTCATTAAGAATTATGATATAGAATTAAAATTGTAAACAATATATTATATTGATTTTTATAAAACTTTTAAGGGAATAAATCATTATAGTGCCGATTAGTGCTTCGCTAGGTCAGTATTATTTATGATTAGGTACTATGAAATCGATAAGTAAAAGAACATTACAATTACATTTGAGATTCTTATCGTCATCGCTAATTTAAAGTAAATAATTTTACACTGTGGAGTATTAAGAAACTTCAAGGAAATGACCCCAATTTATTTTTACACAGATAAATTACGTTTATTGAAAAGATACACCCGGAGATACCATGATATTTCCTTTAGGTTACCAGGATCAAGACAGGAATAGAAGACGTAACCAGTAAGAAGAGGTAAATAATAAGAAGGAGAATTATCAGAATAAATTATTTCAGTAATTCAAAAGTTAAAAATATTTTAAAATATCTGCTTCGTATGTTAGGTTTATTCTTCGCTAGCATCACCCGCATCACCAGACTCACTACCATTTACATTACTGTCTTGAAAAATTTCTTCAACAGCCTCTGGTTCGTCTACGATACTAAGGTCTTCATCTGCCACAACCGCTGTAACTTCATTTACAACGTCCATAAGTTTCACTCCAGATGAGTTATCATCATTTTTAATTTCCTGAGGTTCTATCGGCCCGATGTCGCTCTCGGAGTCAGAGCTGCCGCAGCAAGCAGCTTGTTTCCCGCAAGTACATTTACGGCGACCGAAAAATAGTGGTACTCTGCAAATACATACGTTCCAAATTAGTAATTGTTTTACAAAAGTCAAATTATGATAAAAAAAAACATGAAGATAAACATTAAAAAAAAGAAATAAAAAGATTCATAACATACCGTAAAATTATGTTCCAAGTAAAAAAAAATTATATAAAATATAAACGTACTTGAAGGAAACCAACCGTAAAGGATAATCAAATTGAAAAATATGTGATAGTTTTTTTAACATATAAATAGTTACAAAATAAAGCGTATAAAGAAAAGAGAAAAAAAAGAATAACAAAAAACAAAACTTGTTGACATTGATACAAAATCTTATATTTATTGCGATTATGCTTGTTGAGTAACATTGAGAAAGATAGAAATAACTTGTTTACATCGAGAAATGGTATAGAGGTATAATACAATGCCAAATGGTTTCACTATTGGCACTGTTGAGCTGTATTCGCTATACTTCTCCTAGCAACAATCAGCTGATTTAGTCAACTAATAATAAGCTCTGGACTCAGGCCAATTTTTTAAAGGTATTTACGTTATTTACAACGCATTGAGAATAGTTATAAACTTAACAGAGACGATCTTTGTAAACAAGTTTATTGTTTGTATAACGAAAACTTTGATACTTTAGTCAGCAGGCTTAGTCCCGTTCACATATCATTCAAGACTTGCGTTATATTTCTCTCTCTCTCCCTTTTTTTATGGTATATGGGGGGGAGGGGGACATCTGACGACGAGCAGTTCATCTAATAGTAAGTAACTACCGCCGCCCATGGACAACGGTAGGTAACTCAAGAGTCATATGTGGGTATCCGTTCTTTGAGTGTCCCGCATCAAGTATAACAAATCGGTAACATGATTTACTCCGTAAAAAGCAACAAAAGGATAAGGCCCTGGTAGGTATTACTCTGGTTGAGCGGTTGAGGATATTCCATTTGTCCCGAAACAGCTCTACAAAGATTAATTTTTATATCGTTATTGGAGTTTAAAAGGCTTATTGTATCTGTTATCATAAGTTAAAATAGCTGTCATTGCATCATATTCTTCATGTTTCAAAATTAGATAAAAGTTACAATTTAGAGGTACAGACCAAGAGTCCCAGTCAAGCTGTAACTAGAACTCTCAAACAACGCAGAACAAGTGACCCTCACTATACAATTTAAAAACAATAAAAATAATTAAGCCGTAATATCAACTCATACCGCAACACACATGAAGGGAACTTGAAGGAGATTAATGGTGCAACACATGCGCACACGCAGAGCCGCACCGGGACCCGTCGTATGGGACCGGATGCAATACAATCGACTTTGTTCTATGACGCATACGCGATTGGTTGAATAGTTAGCTGTTGACGTGAAAGTAGAGTTGTTGAACCTTTTTTTTTCTGGGTTCATATAGATATAGGTTGAATTTCGTTTAAAATTCAGTTCCGATCTATTCTCGATCGCACAAATGTCATAAAAAGTATTCTCGTAGTAAAATAGTAATAAAATATAATCATAGCGTTCATGGGCGGAGGTAGTCGCTTTCCATCAGGTGACACGTCTGCTCGTTTGCACCCTATTCCACAAAAAAAAAAACCAGTCAAGTGTCAACGTTGGATTTTTAATACTTTAAAACGAGAATAAATTTTATAACATTTGTGACATCGAGAGCAGATCGGACATCGAGAATTGACCTGAAGGTCAACTCCTGATGTCCGATCTGCTCGCAGCTTTTATATTAAAGTGAGCTTTGCACCTACTACGGTGCAATAAAACAATGTAGTCTGATGTTCGAAAATTTCAATCATCAGTTCATTATGACATCAGTAATTCATATGGTGACGTGTTGATTATCTATGACGTAACATCTGTAACCTTTATAAAATGTTTTACCTAGTTGTCGCCGCATATAAGTATTCCTGCATCATATCAAAAAACATTGTTGTGTCTCGGAGACCATTTGTTTGTAAAATCGACGATATTTCGTCGCACCTACGAAGAAAGTGTTTAGAAACCTGGCCGAGTGCGAGTCGTGTCTCTTGCTAATGTAGGGTTTCATAGCTTATTGTTGCTTATTTTAAACGAGTAACAACTGCATCTAGGTAACTTTTCCTAAAGATTATTGTTTGAAATTTTCCTAGTATTACTCATAAACTAACCGATTATTTAATGTGATGGTTTTCCTTTTTAATCCGTTATGTACACTAACATCAAAAATAGTCATACTCAACACTTTTTAAATACCTTTTTAATGAAAATAAAATCCCAGCTTTATAATTAGTTTTTAAACGTAAAAACAATTTTATTGTAGTTTCAGTTATACGCTACTATAGATAGACTAATGATATTAAGTAATCTCAAACTTTTTTGTTGAAATCATAATCGCAAAGCTAGCAAAGTTTTTAGAAACTCGTTTGAGGCACCTTGAAAATTAGTGTCATGATTCTCGTGTAATGTCTTAATACAAAATTGAATGCTGGCTACTTAAATGGGCCTAGCCTGGCTTCAGTCAGCATTTGATTTTTAAGCAATGTGTATCATGCTTTTGATTGTGCATATATTTAAACATGCTTGAAGATTCTTGAAATTTTGATAGCAGTCAATGTTAACATTAAATAAAGTTGAAACAGCCGCTTCAATATGCCTGATCATCTTCAATCTTTCACCGGCCACTGCCGGACAAAAGGCTCTATTTCGTACTCCAGTTTATAATATAAATACGCTAATAACCTCCTGTGCCTGTGTGAGATTTAGAATTATTTGGCAAGAGATTTACAACGTGTACTATTAATATAAATTCATATTGTTTTCTTTGGCTGCCACTGATCAGGATTGCTTGCATTGAGAGCAACTAAGTAATTTAAATCACAAAGATTAAGAAAATATAAGAAGCTTATAGAAGAATACACATAGCATCGATAGTCTAGTCCCGTCCGTTGGCTATCATCCAGTGTGATACCATCCTCTCACTGTCAGCGAGAGACGAGGATAAATTCATCACCGCTACAAAACTTAATTTATTAGATATTTTTTGTAGAAAGCGCATGCGATCAGCGTATCAAACATATGAAATTTACTAGTAATTATACAATTCTGTCAATTTCAATAATTATCAATTTTTAAACTTGAATCTACTGAAATCGGTGGAAATGAATCGTTAAAATGTTTTTAAATTTAGCACTACAAGAATAAAACTAAACGATAAAAAATAATTCTTACAATTGCGTAAAAATTAAAGGCACTATGTTACTCGTATTTTGTATCAGGGCAGAAGTGAAATATATTCTACAAAAAAGAAGGAGAAGGTGTGTTTTCGACCTTTTTAAAATTTTGTAACTTATTATTATTATTTTTTTCATTTACAGACATACCTAAAAGTAATCATTTCATTTAGCATTTGAATTAAACACTAGACGCAGTGGAAATATTGAATCATCATTGGGTCTGAAAGTGATACCAGTTTTCGCTTACAGTGGGACAGGAGCCAAGAATTTGAAACACTTTTGATGTCAGATCTATATATTCCTGTCGGAACACAAGTGTTATGTTCATACGTTTTATTGGCTTTCGTTACAGTTACCCAGAGATACAGTTTTATTTTTTTAAACAGGTTACATTTATTTATAAAGATTCGGTGTGTCTCTTGATATAACACTATATTTTCTTTTTTTTTCGTACTTTTTGTCCTTTTTCTTAAATTGTAGGTACATAGGTACATTCCTGAATTCAAAAGTCCGTGTTACGAGTATAATCAATTTTTTATGAATTGTATATTAAATACTGTGCTGTATAGTATGATATCAAATCGATGTCGCAGCGTTCGATACAGTTATCAGCCGATGCGGTAGAATTATCTTAGGATTCAGATTCAGAAAGCAGATGAGATTAAATTACGGACTAAAGTTGGATTTAAGGTTTGAGATACCTATCTTTATTTTTCATAAAACTTTAAAATAAAAATTTCACTTGCATGAGAAAGTTTAAACATACACAAGAAATAATACTTGGCGTTCACTGAGTATCAAATCATTACACTCAACACATTCAATCACAAAATTATAAAAAAAATCAAGTTATTTTTAGTAACAAGTCACAAAATACAATATTCAGGGTACTTGTAAAAAAACTTTCATACACAAGAGCAAACAATGCATGGATACAGATTGAGCGTAGCTTGAAGCGACATGCGAAATACGAGTAGTAAAAGTTAAATGGCATTTTAAGTGTTTTTTCAAAGTTAGCATTGGTTTTACTTTTTTAATATGCTTCTGTAATTAGTTATACAATTTCGCACCTTCGTACATTTTTTTTGCCATAATTAGTTCTTGGGTGTAAGAGGTAAAGGTCGTTTGCGCGTCTTAGTTATTTTTTTTTTGTATTTGTTGTTTCTTGGTGAATATTATATGAGTATGTATTTCTTTATTTAGTATTTTTATTATTTCATTTTCTAACTTCGAATTCTGATTATATTACAATTCTTTAACTACTTAACTGATCATCATTTTGCATACAAGTTGTCAGACGTACAGAAGTCGATATAGGACATATAAAAGCAATCTTAGGATAAAGGAATTCATTTTTAAGCTAGCGAAATCCTGGTGATAAGCTAGTCTTGCACATATAAATATATTCAGGCCTTGTCCCGTCCAGGGCACCTTGGACGCACGATGGAACGCCTTTTGCCACAGTCTTAATATACAACGCCTCTTCCATCAGATTTTTCATACAAGATCGCCGGTTACGAGTGCTTTTAATGAGACCCTACTTCCGTACACTGTCGATTTGGTCAGTAAATTCAGTATATATTAGGATGACCGACTAATAAGGAATTTATAAACTCTTTTAGTCACTCTTTAGTCTCTCTTTGTATTAGCTGGTATTGTTATGAAACTAATTACATTTACAGCGCGTTTTTACGATCGCATGTGCTTGTCCACAAAATTAAATAAAAATACCTGCACATTAAAAGTATGTGTGTCGCTTTATAATCGAATTGTATTGGAAAATAATTTACTATGTGGTTTATAATTTATGCCATGCCATGGTAAGAAATTATAAACATAACCTAGTTTTTCGTTAGTACCTTATCGACATGGTCCTATTTCTAACAATAGCAAGTTTTTGCTGGAGTTATTATTATTATATGTTATACATATATGGAGACAATATTGTCAACTGATTAGTCGTTAGCATAGATAGAAGAACTTTTTATAGGATATTTTATTTTTGACACGACAAGTCTTTTTAATGCAGAATATTGTACTTTTAATTCTAGGAAGGGATAGTGTGAAATCGTTATCGAAGAGATAGTGAAATTACATTGATTTTCATTGCCTAGTTACCTTGATTGATTAATTTAAATATCAAAAATAGGTTGGAAAAGGAAAAATTAAAAAAGTCGAGAGGTTTTTTTTTTGTTTTGTATGAACATAATATTTAGACAAACCTCAGGGTCCCCAATCAGGGTAACAAAATATAATTTAATAAAAATGTCATGGAATTGAATATCGAAATTAAAATGAGAATTCCACTAAATTAAAAAAACAATTCAATTAATATTAAAGAAATGCAGTTATTCACTTAAGCATACATAACTTAAATTTACCTAACAACATTTTTAGAAACACATGTTTTTAGATAATCGATATTGGGCAAAATTTTAATTCGATTCAACCTTTTCAAAAATACCTTCTAAATATCTATACCTAACCTCAGAACACCAATAATTATATTTTAGAAATTTACTCGTAAGTAGCATTAGTAGTATTAATTTAAACATCTTACAAACGAAACATATCGTAAAACCGTTGTTTTATACCTAACACTAATGAAGTACTGTTCAGGCCGAGATAAGCTCAAGCTACAGATTTATCTAAGGCTTATAGTCATTGCTACCGGCGCGCGCGCATTAGATCTATCTACGAGTGTGTCTACTGCGTCTATTTATGAGCACAGTTGCAGCGTTGGCGCAGTGCAACAACCCCGCTCAGAGTCGCCACTTGTTATTAGAAAATTAGGATTGTCCACAAGTATCAATGCCAATCATAGATCAAGACTTTTAAGAACATAGTTTACGACTCGGTATGTGACAGCTCAGTATAGGATTCAACCTAAAATCTATACAGTTTTTGTTACTTCATTACGAATTGTGTGATGATTGACGGTAATCCGGCATCACAATGACGAAATCCATCTAACTAAAGCCTTTCTCAAATATCCGGTCCACTCTTTAGGGTACTAGAGTAGAGTTAACTGGAAACTATGTGACAGTCTGAAAAATTAAATTGCCACCGTTCTGCTTTCAGAGACAAATTAAGAATAATTTACATCAGGTCTTAAATTATTTTACGTTACGTTTTGTGAAAACACGAGGAAGGGACATTTATTTTCAGTTAATAACAAAAAATATTGATTGCATGTTTAGAAATATACAAGCAATCAAATCTGTTGGCCAAGCCAAAGAGTATTCTAGTGATTCTTATATAAATTGTATAACCAACTATTTGGCATCAACTGTCACACATTGTTACGCAGTCGTCTACGGATAATATTGGCAACCGTAACATCTAAACTTGACCTCATCTTAGTTTTACATAAAAATCTATAAATAAAAAATCTTGTAGTCGGTTAATGTACTCGTGTAATGAACATGTATTCAAGGCTCAAGCGTTCTAAAAACTAAGTTTTTTGTATGACTTGAGATGTGATTAGACACAGATACCGAACTACACGTACACATTGTGACATTTGCCTGTTCATAAAATTATACAGTATTCAGATTTATAAAATGTTTTATAAAGATTTTAACGATATTTAATGCAATCAAGCACTTTGACTGCCTCCGTGGTGCAGTGGTAGCGTATGCGACTGCTGTGCTGAAGTCTCGGGTTCGAATCCCGGGTCGGACCAACTGTTTGTATGATTTGCAAATATCTGTTTCGGAGTTTGGGTGTTTTCTATATAAAATATGTACGTATTTACAAAAAAGAAGTATGTATGAATACTATCAGTCAATCTAGCTTTAATAGTACAAGGTTTGCTTGGTTTTAAATTTGGATATTAAATGTTTCTCGGTATATTATTGGTAAGAATTGGGTTTTTTAGTTTACTGAAAAATAAGGAACTTTTCATTTAGAAATTTCTTATCCGATTTCATTGTATATGTTGTATATTTGGTAGCATTGGCATATATGTAATATTTATTACACATATGCCATTGGTATC